GACGTCTCCCCGCGCTAATGACAGCCATGACCCATAGTCGTCAGGGGTGTTCGGACCCTTGTCCCCTTAGGCAGTGGGGGTTGGAAGGCATACAAAAATACGGGCTAGACCTTTTTGGCACATTTTCCGCTATTACAAAAACACGGGAAGATCCGTTTTCGAGGGTACATTTAAACTAACAATAATCTGTAACGAACTGTTAAGAGACCTACATAAAAGAACGAGAAATTCCGGGTCAAACCGTTAATGTGTTAATGTAAGTTAATGTTTCAGGTGAATGTAGAGTTCAGTCAAGGTAGCTGATAGCGAAGTCATTGCAAATTGTCTTTGTAAGCAACAAGGAGCAATCAGCAACACTAGAATGAAAGTTTCAGAGTGTCTGATTGTTTTCCCAAACAGTATTATTGTTAATAATAACATACACTGGTTATCATAAATTAAGGAAAAATCACAAAAAAAGCGACAACTCCCTCAAAAATAAGCCAAACCATGAAAATTTTGATTTGGTAATTTGTGAATTTCATGACAATTTAACTGTATTAATGTCATTATGACATCATTAAATAACTATTGTTTATTTAAATTTTGATAAAAATATTAAGATATTAAAATTAAAAATAATAAGATATTTTTACATTATATCATGTTTAAGTTTGTCTTTATCTTTCATTTTGAAGATTTTTGCATGTCTTGATTCCGGAATTTAAGCATGGTAATAAAGGTCATAAAATACAATTTCTGAATTACTTTTTATCCAAAACAGAAACGCTACTGTAATTATGGAAAACATAATTTCATTTATCTAATTTTCTATGATAATTGTGTTTCCTCTAATTTTTTACAAATATTTCATTATGTGTTAGCTTTCTCTTTAAAATTAATTTTTTGCTTTTATCAAAAATATTTTATGTAATTGTGAAAATCCTGTGATTTTTGCTGTCATGTAGTTTGCAGGCATTTTAAGTGCTGAAAAAGGCCTGTGGTAAAATAAAAAAATTATAACAGGTAATACAGACCAGACTGTTTTATAATAAGATTAGGATATGTTTCTCTTATTTATTTATTGAAGAATCTTTGGAAAAAGCAGTCAAAAACCAAGTTGTCTGAATTTTCTATGATAGTATTTTACAACCTCCATTTTTTAAATGGCACAAAGGCCTATCATGCTAAATAGACTATGACAAAGTGGCCACAAATAAAGGGATTGAAAATTGACAGGTTAAAAGATGTATTGTATGTAATTGAATGCATTATATCATTTCATAAAGTTTTCTGAAGTTATTCTCAATGCTGAAATTACTAAGAAGTCGGATATGAAATTTCTGATGAACATTTTAGATACATGTAGTTTTTAGAAAAGCAAAATATTTAAGTATGTAGAAAAATTTATCGAGAGAAAAATTATTGAATACAAAATTTTTTTACTTAAAATGAAATTTTTTCTTTAAATTGATCTTTTATAAGAGTTCAGAAACTGGTAAGAACATTTGTTTTTATTGGAGTAAAGTAAAAGCAAGAAAAAAGAAAAAGCACCATATATATATATCCAGAAAATTTTCAGTTTAAAGTATTTTATAGCATTATAACTGTTTTGCATCTTTTAATGTACAGTTGTTTTAATATCTTTTTAAAAACCTATGTAATGAATTATACATGTAATTGCCTATCATTTTTAACTACAAAAGTTGATTTGGTTATAATTTCGGTAGTGAGGTTTTTAACAAACATTTTTAAAAATAAAAGAACTTTTTAATATTGATGACATAAAGCTTTTGGTTATCATGTAGTAGCGATCTTTTGCTTTTAGTTATTTATTTCCTAGATGCTGCCACTAAAATGCTTTTTTTTTAAATTTGCATATGATAAAATGATGGGAAAAAGGAAGGATTAAAACAGCTATCAATTTTAGAGACACCATCTAAAAAAATAACTAACAAAGAATAGGTCACGTTACTTGAATGCCAAATCTTCTTGAAGTATATAGGATTCCACTATTGGGATAAATTAAAGGAACAATTGTAAAAACTCATGTATCTGGAATGGTTTTGAAATTAAAAATATAAAACTTCTACAAACTCTATTTTGTCATACCTGGCATATCTTCAGAATAGAGATGCCTATTTCCACAAAAAAAAAAAAAAAAAAAAAAAAAAAATGAACTATTGTTACGTTTTTCTTTTAATTTTTCTGACACCAGTTGTTACGTTATTTTCTTCCATCACGTTCTTGCGAGGTTCGTGTAGATTTGGAGTGAATAACGACGACACTTTATGAAGTATCAAAACACATTTTATTTCCCAGTATTGTCAGGACAGCTCCAAAATATGTTTTACAGTCGTTGAAGATCTACTATAAACACGCTGACACGATCAGCAACATAGCTTTCAGGTTATCAGGCTATCACAGTGGAGACAGCTTCCTGCAAAGCAGCCGACTCTGCTTTCCGGAGTACAGCTCCCGACTCTGCTCGGTCGTTCTCGGAACTCCACGTACTCTCGAGACTCTCCATGCTACAACTTGCGATGCACTTGACGGCACACGAGCACAGCTCCTCACTTTCAGTGTTACGAAATGTAAAGGCGCGGTAAGATAAATTTCCCGCAAAGCAGTTTTAGGGTTGCCATAAAATGGCAAGGGAAGGCAGGGTTGCCACATTTGGTGAGAAATCGCGCATTTTGCGACAAAATTGGCGATATACCATGGACGGTTGAAGAACCTTCTGGAACAAATTCTTACCGGTTTGTCCCAGAATGTTCTCGAAGGCAGGCTATATAAACCCTGCTGGTATGCGGACAGGGTGCAGGACAGCATCCTAATGCATCCCATACATGTTCTATCAGATTTAAATCTAAAGTATATACAGCTGGTATAATGGTTAGTGATCCTGACTTGCATATTGATAGGGCCCGGGTTCGAATTTTGGGGAAAGGCAGGATTGTAACTGTCCGTCCCTTAGGAGGCAACGGTGGCTACCTATTAAGTGCTTCCATAATGAAATAGCCATCACTTCTGCCCTTTATAGTGATGCAAGGCTAATGGCTATTAAATAAAGTGCCTGGTCATTAAAAATATATATATATGTGCAGAGCACTCTGTTCTACTAGATATAAATCCAGGCAACATGTGTGACACTTCACTGGATTTCTTTGCTCTCAATATAATTTGTCATTAGTGCAGTGTGATGGGCACAAGCATTATTGTAAGAAGGCCAATATCCTTAAGCAACTTGACAGAAGTAGCAAAAACCTCATATTTTCAGCATTTTTTGCATGAGTCATTTGTAAACACAGCTAAGTGCAATCTTTGGTACTCCAATCATGATGATCTCTACACTGTTACAACCAAGTGCATTTCGCTGCCTGAGTTAATGGAGCATAGATTATTTCCTGCATATGAACTTCTTTTATGCAACATGTCACTTTTGGTTTATCTGAATAGTGGAGTTCCTGGAATTGCAGCAAACTGTCTTGAAATTAGGGCTGTCATTTGTGTGTTTCTTTTAGTTGTTTCCAAATAGCAGTTTTAAACAGCCAGTCTGTTGTGGCACGTTTTTGACCTTGTCTGCATACATCACCGTTTCCAGATTATTCCATGTTTTGTATCATTTTCAGATTTTTTACACGATGTTTTTGGCTAATCTTAAGTCCATGTAGACCTGTGTGAGCATCTGTCCTTCTTCCATTATCCTAATAGCGTACTGCTTTTCACAATCTGTTCGATTCCTTCTCAATATCATATTTTACCTTTCACATATGAAAATTTTAGTTTAATCTTTTAAATTGGATCCCTTGTGCTTCTTTCCATCTTTTCATTCTTTTCTTCTTCTTTTTTTTTTTTTTTTTTTTTTTTTTTTTTTTAAAGAATGTACGCAAAAATTTTGCATATTTCATTGTAGTGAAGGTGAATCCCAGCATTAACTGTGAGCTAGTAGTCGAATCACCTTTCATCAGACTTAATTAACATCGGCTCTATTTTATAGTTTTTCCTTCCACCCAATCAGAGCTGCTCAAGTCCAAGAGCCAAAGGATTAAGTCACTGTTCGTCTAGACGATATATATAACCAGGCAATAAGTTTTTCTACAAGTGTATAGTAAGCGTAAAATGTAAATGTTTCGAGAAATTGTTTATAGTTTCTTTTGTACTTAAATTTGTTTTATGCTTAACATTAGATTGTATTTAATAATTTTATTAATTCAGATCTCTTTGCTGCTGATAGATCATTAAATTTTTTCATTGATGGTCATCAAAGGTCCTTAAATGCCAGTAATTGCTATTTAACCTCTTCACTCCAAAAGTCTTGTGAATGAAGTTGCTCCGAGTTCCCATGATCTTAGAGCACTGAACATCACTTTGTGCCAGAGCATATTTTGATATTAAGCCAAACATGCAAAAATAATTTCTACAAAAGTGCTTTTTAACTAAATATTTAGATTCTTACATGTGTTATATAAATGTTATTTATTTCATTTTATGTAAACTGAAAATCCTAATAAATGTTTCATACCCATTTTGATTGGAAAGATACTGATTTATTTGAAATTGGGAATCATTTAAAAAAAACGTGGGGCAAGTAAAATGAAAAGCAGAGTAAAATGTGAAGATATTAAAGTCATGAAATATCTGTTTGTTTCTTAAACTGTAATTGTAAACTAATAATAGCTAAAATATAAATCTGTTTATTCTTAAGCATGCTAGGATATAAAAGGAATTTAATACTGCATTAAGAATCAATTTATATCTTGAAATTTTTTATAGTACTTAAAACCAACTAAAGAATTAGAGCTGAAATAATTATTTTTTCATGTTTGACTTTTTAATATTTTATGATCTGTCAGTCTTTAATGTCCTGATGTTAATTTTATTCTTTACACTTATCCTAAGTAAAAGAAATTATATTCTTATTATATTGCTGTTATTTGTATTAATGTTTTATATTCATAAGCATAAATGGAATTTCATTTTAATGCATATGAAGTATGTCATATGAATAGTATAAATTTTCCTAAAATGCAGAATTTTCTATTGCAGGTTTCATGCAAATTTTTCTCTAAATTTAACTGACATAATGCCTAATATTAAGCTTCAGAGTTCTGATGGTGAAATTTTTGAAGTTGACGTTGAAATTGCTAAGGCATCTGTGACCATCAAAACTATGCTGGAAGATTTGGGAATGGATGATGATGAACAGGAAGTTGTGCCATTACCAAATGTCAATTCTGCCATCCTGAAAAAAGTTATACAGTGGGCAACTTACCATCGTGATGATCCACCACCCCCAGAAGATGATGAAAACAAAGAAAAAAGAACTGATGATATCAGCTCATGGGATGCAGATTTCTTAAAAGTTGACCAAGGCACTTTGTTTGAATTGATTCTTGCTGCAAACTATTTGGATATCAAAGGTCTTCTTGATGTGACGTGCAAGACAGTTGCAAACATGATCAAAGGAAAGACACCGGAAGAAATTCGGAAGACTTTTAACATTAAGAATGATTTCACACCCAGTGAAGAAGAACAAGTAAGAAAAGAGAACGAATGGTGTGAAGAAAAGTAACTGTTGGATGATGTTTAAATGAGTGTGTAAAACTTCTACCACCAGAATTGCTCTTACCCTTTTAGGTACTGTAATTAACGAAGCAAGCACATTTAGATTTATTTCAAGGATTTAAAGCAGTTATTGTGTAAAATTTTCATCATTATAAATTTTGTAAAATTGCTGTATGTTTACTGTAGTGTTCATATTTAGTTTAAAATTTTATTCTGCCCCCCTAAAAAAACAGAATCGTATTTCTCAAGTATCAAATTTTCCTTCTCAAAAATTAAATTTTTATGACTCTATGAATAAGAATTATTAAAAAATTACTCTTTTTAATTATTCTTTATTTATAAGATTTAAATATTAGGATTTTTTAATGTCAAACATGCTTTCAGCTGAACTCTTACTAGATTCATGTTTATAGCTTTATTTAGTCCAGTCTCATAATCTACTCCCACCTGATTAAATTGTCATGTATTTTAATTATTGGTCATGCATTTATATATTTCAAATATTAAGATTTTTGGAGCAGCTGAATGTGCTTAAGTGTTGAAACTGTCATCGTATTTTTAAAATTTAATTTTGGTTTTATCATAAAAGTTCTGCTGTTTATTGTGAATTCCTTCTGTAAATAACTGAGATGTTTGAATGCAATCTGTTTTACCTTTTTCTATTAGAATCTGGAGCTAATTTGCTAAATACATTTATTTGGGATAGTTAGTCACATGTTCTTATGCATCTTAAAAAAAAAAAAAAAAAAAAAAAAAAAAAAAAAAAAAAAAAGAAGTGGTGTTTAGTTTCAATTCACATTAGAAAAATCTGTGAAAATATCCAAGTTTCTTCTAATCTGTCTATTTCATGATTAAAAAACAGAATAAAGTTCTTAATATTTATATGTAGCAATTATTTAGAACATATCCAACATTTGGTCTTTTTAGTTATGTAGCTTTTGTGAGAGAATACATCAAAAAATAAACTGATATACCATACTCGTCCAAATGTACAATAGTTTTTTTCTTAAAGTTATCAAATACGAAAGAGATTTGAGATGAAGTATTCTTGGTAATTTTCTAACTTTCTCATATGCAAAAATAACCAACCACTGTAGATCATTCCTGTGTTATTGTGGAGATGAAGTTTTGAAGACAATAACTGTATGATTAGAAGATGAACAGTTTATTACATTTTGGAAAAGTGAGGGGATGAAAGTCATACATTTTACTTTCAATGGTTATTCTGGTAAAAAAATAGTTGTCATTTTATGTGTACTTCTTTTTTATTTCTTACTAGCTGCTACATGGCCAGCCTTCGTCTGGCTTTTAAATGTACCAGAAAAATGGCTAAAGGGAATACCAAACATTAAATTTAAAAACTGTGCAGAACAAATTTATCAAAAAAAGGGGGGGAAGAAATTTCAATAAAAATTACAATGAAATAAGCAATATCCCTTAAATATTAATTATTTTTAATAAATAAATTAACCAACTTCCCGTTGCAAAATATTAAGAATTCAAATTGTATAAAGGAAGTTAAGAACTTTGTATCCTGGAAAAAAAAAAAAGTAAAACTTTTTATATCATTAAAACATAATGTAAAAAAATTACAATGCAAAAGCTATAAATCTTGTACAAGAGAAAATAGTCAGCAGTCCAGTATCCAAAGTAGTGAATGAAAAACTTGCCAAAACCACAGTTCTAAAAGAATGAAACTATCATCAGAAAGCAATAACCAATTAAAATTGTGCTTTATGATATAATTCAAAATTTTGCTATTAGTTAATAAAGAGAGAGCTCTTTGCCAATAGCTAATAAAGAGAGAGAAGGAAAAAGGAACTTCTTTCTGTTGTGCCTCGTGAGACACATGCGTGTCAGAATAATATAGCAATGTGCGATTGCATGTATAATTAATAATATTTTATCTCATATTTTCAACAGTCAGCAGTCCAGTACACAAAGAATTGAATGAAACTATTCAAAATGATGCAATTTTATCAAGAAAGATAAAATAAAAAAAATCTGATTTGAGTTTTAAAAAAATTGCTTCAAGGTGCACTGGCTCCTGTCTAGATGCACTTATGTACCGAATTTTGTAGCCCTGGGTCTATTGGCTTACGTGCAGTACGAACGAAAGATACACCACACGAACAGACTCTTTCTTTTATTATATGTAGATATAAAGCATTATTAAAAATTGTAGGACGATATTTTTATTTTTGGGATGGTAGAGTATTAGTTATTGGCTATAAATGTAGATCAAAGAAAGTGCTAATTGAAATTTATAGTTGCTGTTAGATAATTGCTTCATAGCATATGTTGTAGTTTATTATATGTCGGCTTAAAGCTCACATAGCCCTTAAATGTCCTTAGTTTTTTTTGGGGGGGGTGAAAGTAGATTTTGTTCACTAAAATCTTGAAATTTGCAGAAAGTCCTTTATTTTGCTTTCTGACAATTCTATTTCTTTTTTATGACAAGTGCAAATTAACATGTTGGAGAGTATGGAATCCATATCCTGTGGCTTGTAATGGAGCCATAGCAAATAGGTGATGCAAAACGGAACAGTCGGAAATGAGTTTTGGAGTGCTGATTGCTTGTTTATCCAGTTTCTTTTGAAGTGACAAGAATGAGAAAAAAAAAAAAAAGTTCTTTGAACTTCAACCATGACCTTACAGCTATAGTTGATATACTGGATGAAAGCGTGACCTTCATGGAGTTCAAACCATGAACTTCATATAGGTCAGAGTTCCATCTACTGCTGTTTATGAATCAAGATCATCTTCCCGACTACAGACAGAACAATGCATATGCGGTGACTTTTGTAAAAACTGTTTATTTTGTTGTTCGTGATATAATTTATGAATTTGTAGTGTTTGTAAAGGTGCCACAAATATTTGATGATTTGTTGCTAAATTTTTATTTAATTTGCATATTCATGACAGGCATTGTTGGAATTCATTCCTGTTTATTACATCAAAAGCAGTTTACTCTGGCCTTTTTTGGATATGAATGCTTTTGTTGCACTTTGCTAAATTTGATGATTTGAAGGTTTGCGATTTTTTTTTTTTTTACAAATGTAACAGCATTCTTAAAATGTCATTGAGAAAATAATTTGTTAAAATAAAATATTTTTATTTCCTGTCATAATTTAAAGCGTCTTTCATTTTTACTAATTCTGAATGTTATAAAGCATAATTTTCAAATCACTTTTGAGCAAAAAACAAGGTAAAATTATAATTTTTTAATTAATTTCATTTGTTTTAAACTTTTTATGAGGAGAGCTTTCTTCCATGTCACTGTTTCAAAATATTCAGATATGTGTTAGTTTTCTCTCCAAAATTCACTTTGCCCTTTTGCAGGATTTTTTCATAAAACTGATTTTTTATTCTTACAAAATTGGTGAGTGTGACAGTGAGTTACTGCTTAGGCAGTTTTACTTTTGTATTGTAGATCGTGTAACTTGAAAGGTTCTAGCAGCATTTGAAGACAAGTGGCTAAAAGTGTGGACAATTTTGGGAAAAAGCAGTGAAAACAAGTTATCGAAATTTTCTGCTTTTGAAGTCTGTCTTGATGTTTGTCTTGGTCTTGATAAGACCACAAAAATGGTCCTTACTTGGTCACATGGACAGGCAACTGCAGTAAGGTATTTCTTTGTAAAAGATATCAATAATTTAAGATTCACCTTGTGTATCTCAGTGCTTCATAAAGTTTTCTAGAGTAATTCTCAATATAAATATTATCTAAGAAATATCAGTTTCTTTTACACATTCTAAATACATGCAATCTTTTAAAACAACAAAAATCTAAATCAAGCATCACAGATGAAGAAAAAAATTACTGAAGTTGTTGTTACATAAAAAAAGGAATAGTGTTGAAGATATCTGAAAATTAGCAGATGAAGCAAAGCAAATTAACTTAGAAAATAGTGAACATGTAAATCTCCTTTAAAAATATGTATGACTGTTATAAATGTAAAGTATAAATGACTTAAGAATGTATATTTTTAATTGCATGTTAAGTTTTTGCTGACCATTAGGGAGTTTAATGTATACTCAAATTTCTTGCATACATAGTTTTAAATTCTTAATTTCCCGTTTGTTGATAGGTCCGTAATTTTCTTTTTCGTCAAAGATTGTCGTGTCTGGCAGGCAATAAATCATGGAAAAGCATGTGAGTTAAGGGACTTGGGGGGGGGAAATGCTTTCATGACTTACTAAACCAGCTCCTTAATTACGTTTGGGTTACAGTACTTGCCGTGGGGGAATGCTTTTGTGCACTATTTTCTGAACAGGCTTCCAATTATGCTACCCGTAAGAAAAACCATGGATATACCCATTCAACAAATGCGCTTCGCTAGGAATTCAACAAGACATGGAACTATAAACAATTAGTCTTTTTACTTTCTATTTACCTTTGTGCAAGAGGCATTTCAAGCATGATGTAATACTTGTAGGATGAGGAAATGTGGTGAAATATTTGTATCCTCCTTTAGAGCAGATAAAGGTAAGCACTTTAAAAGTAGTATATGAAGGCTATTATTTGATAGGGTGTTAAATATTGTCATTTAATACTGTTTGTAAATACTGAAAATATCAGATTTCATTCAGGGGCTCATTTCTTCACAGAAGATAGACCAACGATAAAAACTCATGAATACATGCTAGCCGTCTATAACAATATATCGCCTCCTTATGCCACAGTAAAAATTTGGGCTACTAGACTTAAAATTCGAAAGAACATTATGCTTAAATCATGCTTTGCATATTGACAGTCTAGTTACATGGATCTGAGCTATGAATAGTCGATTTACAATGAGTTGCATTATGTAATGACTGAAATATGCAAGAAAGATTAGTTCAGTGTAACAGAATTTGGTACTGTTGTGCAATTAATTTCTTATAAAATTGTAAAATATTTCATGGACTCTGAATTTATAAACAATTGATCGCCCTCTACGTAAACAATATTTCTTAAATTATTTTCTAATAATGCCAGCTGAAGAAATTCCTACATTTATTTGTGACATAAAAAATTTCCTTCATAAATTATATCATCTCTGTCAGATAGTATCCTTATAACTTTATTTAATTACTAATTTAGCACGTAGTATTTAATGGGATATATCTACCTAATTAATCTTTAATCTAACCCCACTTAAAGGGCAGATGCAAATTAGACTGCTAAGAGATCCCAGACGTGTTTTTAATTTCTATTTATAGAAATATGTATGATCCCTGCAAGCTGGGAGTTCTATTTTTTAACAAAAATTATGAATTGCATCATAATTTTTAGAAGAAAGTTGTCATGAATTGCTTTTAGATCGCATTTATTTATTAACTCTTTTACAACCTTCCATTTATTAGGATAACAGAGCATTAAAAAGGAGGGAAATGATGTAACAAGTTTATATATACCAAGTGACAATAAATCTCAAAACTGTATAAAGGCATTTTTATCAATTAGAGGGTTAAATTGATAGGAGGTGGGGAAAGTATATTTCTCTCATTCTTAATATATGAAAAACTTAAGAAATTGAATGCTTCAAGATGAAGATTACCTTTTGGGAAGGGGATTCTAGAACATCATGATCAGAATAACATAAACAATATTAAGTTTCCTCCTTTTTGGTTTAATAAGTAAATTCTAGAATTAGATACATTTGCTGTCTGCAAATTTTAATAAAGATTGTTGATAGATAATATGACAAACACTCTTAGAATTCAACTCTTGGCTAGATGGCAGGTTAAATTGAATTATGTGGAGTGCATGCCTTCAGAAGTAACTGCAAACTATAGACTGATTTTTTAAGATGCATAAACAGCAATACTTTGCATAATCTGGATAATCAGTGTCACCAGTATCCCATACTTTTTAAAAGCAGATTAATCAAGGAATTAAA